CCGCTAAGAAGCTGACCAGTGCGGTGTGATAGGTAGGTATTGGCAAGCTTGGGAAGGATATCTTCTGTCTCGATGAGGTGAAGTGAGGTTGATCTTTGAGGTAAATCTTCTGGCGAAGTCACCTGATGATGTCCGACCTTCTCTTCCTCCATCTAATCCTACATATAAAGCATTGGTCTGCTCACCACCCATGATGAAGTATGAGCTCTCACCCATAAACAAGCTATTATCGCCTAATTTAGCTAGCGAACTCATTACATAGAGTACTACACTCCTCACAATACAGACGATTTTCTTGAAAACCTGATAGACTGCATAAAAAAAAGAGATATAGCTTAAAAAAGACGTAGAAAAACACAAGTTGATGGCCAATCACACCCGTCACCTCAAGTCTTACATGAATATGTATACCTGATCACCTTGTTCACCAACATGTAAATAGGTACTGGAAGTTAGGCAAGTATTGTGGGATGCAACCTGGGGAAAGTTGTATGCCAGGTTGCATCTGCTAGGATTATCATGAAGGATAAATCTTATTAAGTTTATCATTCGCTAGATAAGGCTAATAAGGGACAATTAGAACCATTTAATTAGTTTACTGATGCAACTTCCCGCTCCTTTTCCACTGTGATGACGCGTCTGTATGTTCAACTCTGTATATCTATTGTCACGGCCGTAGATGTTATCCCTTCTGTGGTTTACTGTTGACTTCTCGCCTGACTAATGTCAGGCACATATTCTGAGCCAGCTTGTTACCTCTCCCCTGGGTTGACGTATGGCCTCCAGCCTAACCCAGCAGTGAGGGAATGGGTTTGCACTAGCTCACTTCCACTTGTTTTACATGCCTGTGGCAGCCGATGCACTTGTCAAGTGCACGGGCCTAAGTCTGTTAACCCGTACCCGAATCATCTTGTGTTTGGGCTCATGTGAGAGCCCCAGTCATCAGGATTCCAGATATGCTACCATGGCCGTGGTAGCACGTTTGTAGACAGAGTCAGAGCCAAGAGCATCTTTTTATTGTATAGCTTGGAGGGAGACGAGATTTGCACGGGAACCGTGAGGCTTGGGAGCGTGGAGCCTGGGGTGGCCACCAACCTCGCTGCCACCCTTGTTCCCATGGCAACAGCAGCAGCCATCTTGGGTCGGCCATCTTGGAGTCGCCTTAGGGCCATAGTACCTCGTCTCTGATTGGTTGAGTGGGAAAGGCACCTGTGTGCCTATTCCTGAGTGTTTTTTTTTTAGGAGGACGGGAATCGCCGGCGTTCCTCTCTCGAGGCATCATTCTGAATCCAGCCGCTAACTTTGCCTGACGCTACCTTTGCTCATTCGGCCAAATTGAGTATAGGGCATCGTGGTGGCTTGGCTACTCTACTGCTCCACCTCCACTTCATCTACGACATAGTCTGCAGCGGAATTCAGTCCGGCGTCGTCTTTCGAAGGGGAGAAAGACTTTGAGTGGGAGTGTGAGTTGATATGTGGGCGTGGGTAAGTTGCATACGAGGAGCAACAGACTCATGGGTCCCCACACAAGTGATAATTATAGACGTTCTAATTCCTGCTAGTGCTCCGTAGCAGTCGAGGGAACGGGAAAATTCTTGTCAGTGTTCAGGGCAGTTTTCCCATAGAAATTAGTGAAAGACGCTAGAAGTGAACGAGACGACTATTTACGAACGCACTGCTTCACTCGGTGGGTGTACAAACCGTGCCGTGTGTAGTTTGGGAGGTTACGAAAATGCGCCGAGCCATCCGTGTGCGACCACCACCGAGCAAGGCTATACCAGCTTAGCCTAGCCACTGACCATCCACCTACAAGCAAGGGGCCTGTGTAGGGGTGGGGCATTGGGGTGTATGGACGTGAGCCAGCTGTGTGAATGAGAGTAAGTACCCTGTGCGTGTTTTTGGTGATTTAATATGTTTAAGCCTGAATTCGAGATCGGGTGTTCCGTCGCATTGTTTCCAAGAACCCAGAGGGGTGAGGAAAAGTGCGGGCACATGAGATTTTCACCCTTATTGACATCTTGTCAGTCCAGAGGGACTTACGTCTGGGGTAGGAAGACGTACATGTATGTGTGTGGGTGTGTACACACGGGAACAGATTTTACATAGATTAGCCAAGGACTGTGAGAGATGTCCAAGTAATATTTATATTCCACTCTGGTAGAATTGTTGTTAATTCATTCATGTTGTTGATCTCGTTCCATGTGATCCATCTTGCAGGTGTAGAAATCCAGTACTAGTCGTTATAAGTGCACAGGTAACAGAGTCAGTGTGTAACGCCAGGGATTCCTGGCAATTGATTATTGTGGAATGATAACAGTGTGGTTATTTCTTATGTTGTGTTCCCAGGGCCGTGACAAGTATGATTTTATATATATGTTATATGGCTGAAGTGTTAACGTAATTTAAGTAGAATTTTTGTGGTGAGTGACGCAGCTGTCGGGAGTGACAGCCGACTGCTCTGTCGAGTAACGTAAATGCTCGGGAGTCATTATAGATCTGGAGGATCACTAATCACTCACCCAAGTGATTTAAGGAGTGTGTGTGTTCTCCTTAGTGTTCTCATTAACGTTTGAAAGCTTTAGGCTACAGGTGTCAGCAGGTACATAAATATATATATAATCGTAGTGTCACGAAGCACAGTGTTATTAGTGTGTTGTTTACTGTGGTTATTGAAACGTGTGGGCCCGTGTTCTAAGAGGTAATTAGAGAACTGTTGATCATTTGCATCCGGACAGTAAAGTGTTGGGCAGTGTACTAATATATTTGATATTAGAGCACTTGCCGTGTGTGTTATTGAAAGGGGTTGTAATTGTTGGTGATTCTTGCTAGTGATGATCAATCACTGTGTGTGTTTTGCAGTTCAGTAAATCATTGTGGGCCGTGTTCTAGAGGGTTCATGCCTTGAGTGTTATTTACTGGTGTTCTGCAGTTTTGCATTTGCAACGGGATTGTAGAGCAAATCACTGTGATTTGCTAGGTAATTTATCATTGTCGTGGGTGAACTCGGCTGACTCGAGTACTTGGGTTATATTTTCCTGTTTATCTAGTGGACATTGAAGTCCAGTATTCAGTGAGGTGATTGCGAGGCAATTAATATAACGTAACCAAGGGAACACCCATTGCTTTAAGAGAATTTGTTCTTTGACAAGTAGAGTAGCGTAAGATACGTTGGGGTTAATTATCTCCTAGAACAGATGCGGTAGTCTCAAGGGGCCAAAGCCAGAAGCCGAACAAGAATTAGAGTATTGTTTCATGTAATTATCGGTCAGTGGTCAGGTAATTGACGGGTTCCAGGAAGTCAAAGTAATTAACTTCGATCTGTGTTGATCGACTCACACGAAGCTCTATTCCATTAACGTAACGTCGTTATTGATCTGTCTGGAAGTACAGGTACTTGACTGACTCGTGGGAAGAGTAACGTCATTGAAAAATAACGTAAACGTGGTGATTAATTATCGTTATTAGTCACCTGAATTGGTCTGGTATGGAAGGCAAGACGGAATTTATACCTTTGTGTAAATTGCTGATCCAGTGTGAAAGGCAACGTAACTGTATTGATTAATTATTGATCTTCGGGATAGTAATTAATTACTCAAGGGTAATCACGAGTGATTATCGTTCTCTTAGCACTTTGGAGATTGAAAATTGCAGTTAACTATCGTTGTGTGATAGTAACCGATAACGTAAATTAATGTAACTAGTGCAGAGATTAATCAGCTGTACAGGGATTAATGGGGATTACTCACTGAATGCTCGATGGGTAGAGTGTTGTGTAATTTCCGAGTTACTAGTGACAGTTGTAAGTTTCTTTGTCTGTGAGAAGACAAGATTTAGTTAATGTAAATGTTACTTTGATATTAACGTAATCAATTTGTTATTGATCGTCCGAGGGACGGAGTGTTGACGTAAAGATTTAATTGAGGAGGATTGCTGGAGTTGCCAGTCACCTCATTACTCATTGTCGTGTCATTGACAGGCTACTAATATGATTGCATTGCAACCGCTATTGCAAGTGTAGGCTGCAAGTAGCATAGAGGACTGATAGGAGGTTGTTGGAGACGTGTCTCATAGCCTACTGTGTCATTGTTGCAATTGTGATTATAGATTAGAGTGTCTTGCTTGCTTGATTGATTCCTCTGTGTTCACACCGCATGTTCGAGTTAGTTCATTATGCAGTCCGAGGGGCTGGTGTCTAGCTGTCAGTGAAAGTGTCACAGGAAGAATTTCGAGTAACGTCATTGATATTTCTTTCGTTTTTGTTGTAGTAGTTAGTACTTTTTTGAATAAGCTAAGTTGTTATGTTGAACACTGTCTTTTTGTTGCACCCACACATTTTTAGTGCACTGCAAGTGTTCTGTCACACTCGACTATTAAATTGAGACTGATTCATGAGTTTAGAGCTGAATATATAGCACCACACAAAAATAAACATAGTTGTTAGAGCCCAGGACCTACTCGTTAGATTCGCTCTTGCGAATGGCGAAGGTCAACAGCCTAAGTGGAGGGGATTTAAACTTTTTGAGGTTTCTGCGTTTGCTCGCGCCTAGTCAATTGTTCTTATATGGTCCCAGAGTGAGGAATGAGCTGCTTACTACACTTGGTGTGTTAGTTAAGCAAGTCCTTCCTCAGGCGACCCATTTGAATATCACGACAGGAATAAGGTTAAAAGGGTTAAGGAAATTTTTTTTTAGGAATTATCCAAAATCCAAAAACCAATTCACCATTCCAATTTATATTTTTAAATTCTCACACCAGCTATTATCTCTTCCCTGGTTGCCATATGGACTCCAGCCTAACTCAACTAATATCTCGCACCTCGTTGACGTCTAGCTTACAACCTAACCTAACTATATAACGCTTAAATGACTATCTGCCTTACAGCCTAGCCTATTACTACTTAAATCACTGTCGTTTTGCCTCCAGCCTAACCCAGCTATTGACTCTCAGCTGGTTGAGGTCTGGCTTACAGCCTAATCCAGATTATACTATTGATTGCTTACCTGATTAACGTCGGTCTCCCAGCCTGCGCCGTCGTTGGATAGGAACGCCTTTAGCTCAAACCAACCATTCTCAGTCTGATCACAATCCATCTCCATGTCGATCATCCAGTAGTGTTCACCGAACCTACCACCACAAAATGCTACTAATATTAAACATGAAACAGTAGATACAAATATCACGGTGTCATCTGAATGAAATTAATATAGATTATTAACAAAAGCATATATATTTTTATAGCATTCTGTTTTTTTCAATGTGTTTTTTCTGCATACTTTCATAAGTGTTTTCATAATGTTGTTGTCGGTAAAAAAAAGTCTACCCCATTTCCTTATTCTTAGTTACAATATGCAACTACTTGCGTTGCTGTTCTTGTACTAATCCATTAACGAATACTAACGCAAATTAATTTAGTATGTCGGAATCCGACACACACACACACACACACACACACACACACACACACACACACACATAACATAGTATTCCCTTTTCGTATTCCCTTCAGGAAAGAAAATGGGAGATCCCGTGACGTCAGAGACAACACGTATATTTACAATATTCTAATATTGTTTATACAACAGTTTTGTATTTAAATTTAACAAAATAGTAATCAACAAGACTGAATATAATTACTAACACCAAAATGTAGCTTGATTCCCTTGTTAATGTAAAATTACTTGAGAAGTGGAACCAGGGGCCAGATTCACGAAAGCACTTACGCAGACACTTACGAACCTGTACATCTTTTCTCAATCTTTGGCGGCTTTGTTTCCAATTATTAAACAGTTAATGAGCTCCGAAGCACCAGGAGGCTGTTTGTAACAATAACAACAGCTGAATGGGAAGTTTTCATGCTTGTAAACTGTTTAATAAATGTAACCAAAGCCGTCAAAGATTGAGGAAAGATGTACACGTTCGTAAATGCTTGCGTAAGTGCTTTCGTGAATCTAGCCCCAGGCCCTCAGGGCGTCGGCCCGACACAGAGACTTACTCTCACCTCACAACAACAACAAAACAACAATGGGTGGGAGTCGACTGCTAGCAGCTGTGGAGTGAGGACGTTTCTCGACCCTCTGTGGCTGTTGGAGTTGTTTGCTGTTTTGGTCGCCAGGTGGTGTGGGCGTCCCTGCCCTACCAGTTTTGTTGCCTGCCTGGCTGCGTTGACGTGGCAGTTCTGACATGGGGGGGGCCGTCTTCCTCCTGTTCAGCGTGTGAACTCCGTGGGCCTGGAGTTCACTTGTAAGGCTGGTTATCCGACCATCGAGATGGTGATGTGTGACATGCTTCGTGTCCCGGTGGAAGCTGTTTACGGTGTGGAGCTAGTTACGGCCCATTGGGTTGTTAAGTTCGTGGGGGAGGACGAGTACCGGGACTTCCTCCGTCGGTACGGGGGGCGTACGTTGCCGTTGCCAGACGATGTCGGCTCTGTGGCGATTTCGGACCGCAGTGGTGCCCTGACTTATGTCAGTATCCATGGTGCGCCCCTGGAATTCCCTGATGACCTCCTCCGGTGTTACTTCGGGGGTTTTAGTACTGTTGTCAGCGTGCGGGTGAACACGCTCTCCTCGGGGTGGTATGCTGGGAGGCGTACAAACATTCGCACGTTGGGGATGAGCCTGCGGTCGGATATACCTTCTTCTGTCCGGCTTATGGGGTACTACGTCCGGGTGTATTATGCCCAGCAGCCTCGTACCTGTTTCCGGTGTGGCCTGTTGGGGCATCAGGCTGCCGGGTGCTCTGAGGCCCCTGCTGCTCCTGTCAACTTGTTCCGCGACGAGGATTTCCCGCCGCTCCCTCTGGAGGCAGTCTCCGGTGATGTTGATGAGGTGGTGCGCGTCCCGTCTGCTGCTGCAGCTTCCCCGGCGGCGCCTGCCGTTCCTCCGGTTGTTGCCGTCCCTCCTCCGGTTCTTGAGATACCGTCGGTTGGTCTGCCTGCTCCTGTCGCTGTCCCAGCTGCTCCCGTGGGCCTTCCTGGAGCTCCCTGCGTGCCGTCGCTGTCTTCTCCCTCGTCTTCTGATGCTACGCCTGGCCCTGTGTCCGTGACTCGGGTCCCGGATGTGCTTGGTGCTGGGGTGGCTGCGGAGCCTCCTGCTGTGTATGGCCCGGTTCCCCCTGTGGTAGAGGCTGCTGCCGTCCTGGCGTCGGTTCCTTCGGCTCGTGGTACCCGTGTTTCTGGGTCACTTACCGGCTCGGACGATATCCGGCCGGTGCCCAAACGTTCCCGGCGTTCGTCTTTTTCCTGGGCCAACGTTGGTGACTTCAGTGACTGTGGGGCTTCGGATGTTGACAGTGTGGATACGGATGCGTCGATGTCTCCGCGGTTCGTGGTGGCGGAGGTCCATGTGCCTGCCGGTGCTGGTGCCTGTGTCTCGGACGTGCCTTCGGTTCTTTCTCCGCCGGGGGACTCTCCACAGTGGGGGGTGGTGGCTTCCGCTGCCAGGGATGGTGTGGACTCTGGTGCTGGGCGTGGCCTGGTGGTGACGTTACGGAAGGATGCGCGCCGTCCGGGTTCCCTGCTGTCGTCTGGTGGTGTGCCCGGGGCCGCGGGTACCCCTGTGGTGCAGGTGCGCGTTGGGGCCCTGGGGGACGTGTTGCCGGCGTCACTGGTCGAAGATTGCCGAGTTACTGCTGTCTGACGGACCGGAGTGCTTTCGTGGGGGGCAAGTTCCCTTCCTGTGGGGGCGAGTGGCGACTTCTCGCCTCATGAGTTCTACCATCTGGGTCCCCAGTTTGCAGGTGTTTGTTGCCCCGGTTCCGGATGTTATGGCGTCCCCGGTGGATGGACGAGACCCTTGGCAATGGGTGCTCTGGGAGGCGTTCAATGTAAGATTCCCGCGGGCCAAGTTCCCGGGCAAGTATGTGCTCTGATTTCATGTGTATTTGTTCTATGACATGCTGTGTGCCCTTCTGGCTGTTTGTTTGCCCTGTTCTATTATGTGCTTCTGCCTCTCCCTTTGTGCGTAGCTTTGCCGTGTGGCATATTAGTTTCTAGTGCTTGGCGACACTCGTTTTGCGTTTTGGCTTAGCATTTCGCCTTTCCTGGCTTTGCGATTCACCCTTCACGGGTACGCCGGGGCGCATCCGATCCCACGATCGTTGTCGCCCCTAACTCAACAACAACAACAACAACAATGGGTGCTCCAGAAGTGTTGATTACTAGTCGTCTTGGATAGACTTACTCTGGCACAAGCAACTACCACGACAACAACAGGTCTACTATTCTGGAGCAGTCCTGTATCCGGCTTACCAAGTATATTATATTTGAATTATAGTGTGCACAATTTTTCATTTATAAGGATGCTGGTTAGGATGTTTGGAGAACCACAACACGAAGTACGTGTACCCCAGATTACACCCACCTATTTCATGCCATACCTGTAATTGATATGTTTAGGGAACCTTTATTAATTCCTTGCATTCCATAGAGGTAAATTGTGACTTGGAGCAGCAAGAAGCTGAGGATAGTTGAACTTCACACATAATATACCTAGCTGTTTGCCAAGGCTTGTAAGCTTCCCGGCCGCCATTACGTGGCACAAAGAGGCACAGGGCCACACCCAGATTGATACTACATTACACAGCCTTAGCAGGCCCCTTCTACAGGATCAGCTAAGCCCTCTTTTGTTATAGTAGTATTAGTATTCATAATTAGTAATTATTACTAGTAGATTAGACCACCATATGTGGTATGATATAATAATAAGGTGGACCACCATATGTGGTATAATAATTATAATAAAGGGTAAACAATTGGTAGTTTAAGAAGGAGCCATCTCAAAGTGGTATAAGCTACAAATTGTCCCCCCAACAGTATGTGAGATAATTTCAGGCAGTTTAATCAAGTACATACAGTTCACTCAATTAATTCTTACTTACTAAGAAAATAAATAAGACAGAACTTTATCTTATTAAAGTCAACTTAAAAAAGAGAATAGCTGCCTGGAGTTTTTCCCCACAGTAACGCGTTCAAAGAAAACGCAATTAAAAAAGAAAACTGTTACAGCGCAATTTTCTTCTAAAATAAACATGGGCTATTATTGCCACGCCATTAAAATATCTACATCAAATATATAATAATCACTTAAAACATCTAGTCCAGTATTAGAATAAATAAAAAAACTGTTCTCCGTGACTGGATCAAATAATTTAATAATTAAAATCTACGACTCGATTGATTGATAAAGATTAAGCCACCCAAGAGGTGGCACGGGCATGAATAGCCCGTAAAAAATCTACGACTCCGTCACTTCGTCCATAAATAGGCAGAAAATTGAACCGGCGACTAGTGACGTCACTAGGTCCGGGAGGAGGAGGTTGATGCCATTGTATAGACAGTAAATCTCTCGTGAGAAAGCACACTAGGCAGCTACGTTCAGATGCGTGATCCGAGCCATCATTACGTTTTTCTGCTGCCGCTACCTCAAAATAATGGGAGTTCTTCGTTTCCGGTTGTGTAGAAATTTTGTCCTTTATAACTGAGCTCTTTAATATTAGTATAGCAACCTGTGATGAGGTGAGACAACACCCAAAATCGGATGAGCCTCTCACAATCACTTATCAAACAATATTAATTCATCAATAATTTGTGTGCCATATCTGTGATTAGGAAGTTATTTCCAGTAGCTATATTGTATATCTGGCAGATCTTCTGTGGAGACCACAAGAAATTGGCGACATCTACCTGTTGCAACACGTGAGGACGTATTGACGCCATAGCAATCAGGCTAAAATCTGGCTCATTGCCCATGCGTCCCACTAGAAATCAAATTGAAGCCATCTAATCAGATAAGGCTATCAATCGTTTATATTAACTAAAGTATGTTAACCAACTAACCAATTAGTATAAGTTTTCATACCAATCGATAATTTTCAAATGATAGGCTACAATTATGTAGCCTATCATTCCATTCCCCACCCCCCAAACTTTTGTCGGGCTATGACTTGAGGGAGAATTTCAATTAATACAGTCCACTCAATTATATATACAGTACGCTAAGCTATCGTAGTAAATAAATAAATAAATTAATTATAAATTATATATTAGAAATCAATTAATTAAAATAAATTAAATAAATCCTAAAACAGACAGAGAGAGAGAGAGAGAAATTCTCGATTATAGAATA